AGTGAGACGCCGTTGGCAGTGGAAGGGACTGGGGTGGGTTTCGTGTCCCGTGCGCTCAGGTCGGGGTGGTGGCTCCGGGGGAAGGCCGCTCTGTGCCGCCCATTGGCTTTTCCGGGTGTGTCTGCACGGCGGGAGGTGGCTGACACGGAGGTGGTGCTAACACAGAACATCACCCGAAAAAAAAGATGCTGTGTGCCCCAAGCACCGAGTGCAGCACTTCATCCCTTCTGCTGAGTGCAGAGGCCAAACATAAATTCCTGCGCTGCTGGAATATCTCCTTTGATCCAGGTTGGCCTACTCAGTGCAATTTACTTTAGTTATTCCCGAGTGGGGAAATGTAGGCACAGAGGTGGCGTTGGAGTCACCCCTGGAGTAGATGGCAGCCCTAGAAATAGAGCGGGGGTCTGTTGGCATCCTGTCCTGTGCGCGGAGCTTCGCAGCGGCGTCTACAGAAACCCTCCCTGGAGCAAACGTCCCTGCTGAGAAACAACGTCCGAGCCTCGGCACTGCCCGCCAGGAGCAAGGGGTTTTTCCATGGGACTGACTCACCAGCAGCAAATGCTGGAAATAAATCCTCAGGAAGAAGGTCCCTCCAGGAAAAAACAGGGTGTAGCAAAGCGACGTGTTTTTAATACATGATGTAATGCCTGTTGTGGAGGCCTCACAGCACCACTGACTGCTGCACAGTGAAACCAAACCTGGGCCGACGGTGCAGGGTGGGTACGACAGCAGGAGAAAGCGAGCTGTCACGTGGCAGAGAACACGGGGGCACGGAAAGTGCTGACTGCCGCCAGCATTCATCGATGAACAATGTTCCTGTGCTTCTGTGTGCACCTTGTGGGTTTCCCAGCCGGGTGCTCAGAGTTCAGCCTTTCTCCCAGCGCTGTCCCGAGGGAGGCTGAGCCTGCAGAAACCGAGTGCTGTAGAGCATTCGGTTTTATTTGCCAGGCTGTGGCAAGTCGCGGGGGTGATCCTGACCCCAGCGGCAGGCAGGATGTGCTGCGTAGGAATCGCTTGTTGTCAGGGCTCCGGGACAAGAGGGACACTGCAGTCGTCCCCGTCTGCCCACAGCCCTTCGGCTGAGCTGTGGGGGGGATTTCTGCTGCCCAGCAGCAGAGCACGCTGCGGTTCTGTCCAGGGAGCCTGATTTCCTTCATCTGAGCCAACACCAGGGACCGTGGAGAGCGTCTCAGCCAGGGTCACTCTCAAGATCTGAATTCTCCTTCTTCCCGTTTCTGTGCTGGGTCCTGCTGGTTGCTGTGGAGTCTTGGGCAGCACCCCCCAGCGTCTTCCTGGCTCCACGAGGCACAAACTGCCAACACTGTGTAAGGCTGCATGAGTCGCTCTGTGTTGATACTGAGGTTAAAAATGAGCAGAATAAGGATTATTTCCTCCCCATGTTTTCCAAAGCAGTATGTGCTCTGTTCGGTTCTGGAGCAGTCAGTATTTTTTTTACCGATAAAGCCTCGTGTAACGCAACATGTTTGGGCACGGCTCACAAGTCCGTTTGTGCCTGGCATGTGCTGCAGCATGTCCCGTGTTGAAACACCTCATGACAAGGTTTGTCGATGGATGGAGGAGTGCGGAGGTGAGGGAGCTGCTTCCAGGTGGGAGTGGGCAGCTGCCTCCCTTCAGGGCTAAATTATCCCCCTTCTCTCTGTGAAACCTGCGCAGAGACGTGGTGCAGACTGTATACATCGTGTGCACGCCTGTTGTGTACATTCACACACGTGGGACCGTGCGTTTTAATGATCCAGAAGTTCTGGGCCACAGCTACTGGATCCAAATTGTCGCCTTTTGTTAAGGTTTTGAAAATGAGACTCTTCTAGTCCTGGAGAAAAGCTAATTGTTGGCAAAAGATCTGAATTTTCTGGCTGCACTTTAACGTGTGCCATTGTTTAAAGCAGCCTTCCTTTACTGCCTACAGCTGTGCCCAGATGGGGCTGCTTGCTTTCCAGCAGCTTCCCGAGTCGTTTGCTCACGGGTTTTGTTTTTTCCTCTTGTTACTTATAGTGCCTTTAGCCTTACGGTAAAGAAGAGGTGGCTGCAGTTTCAGAGCTTTGCATTCCTCGCTGAGCTGTGCCTGTGTTTGCACGCAAAGCCATCGCCTCCCCTCCAACTATTTTAATCATTTCAGAAAGGGTGGGTCGCAGGCATTTGGCAGCGGGCGCCTCTCTATAGCTGAGGTGGAGTCAGCCAATGACCTGCAAGCCTGGAAAATTTTGCAGGGCAGTTCCACTGGCCGGCTCTGCCGAGCTGTGCCATTTGAATTGCAGCACAGGCGGCCACGCACTGCGCTCTCCATTCCTGGCGCCTCTCCCAGCGCAGAGTTTAGCTGAGGCTCGGGTTTAGTTTTCCCTCCTCTCTCTCCCCGCAGTGACAGCTTCTCCGGGCTCTGCTCACCAGCACTCCGCGGCAATCATGGAGGATACGACTTTGCAAATTATCGAACCGCCAACTGCTTCTGAGGCCTCTGAGGAGCAAGCGCCCGAAGAACCCATCAAATCGGACCAGATCAACGGGGTGATGGTGCTGACCCTGCTGGACAAGATCATCGGGGCGGTGGATCAGATCCAGCTGACCCAAACGCAGCTGGAGGAGAGGCAGCAGGAGATGGATAGCGCCGTGACCAGCATCCAGGGAGAGCTAACCAAGCTGACCAAGGCTCACACCACCACCAGCAACACCGTCAACAAGATGCTGGAGAAAGTGCGCAAGGTGAGCGTCAACGTGAAAACCGTGCGGCAGAACCTGGAGAAGCAAGCTGGGCAGATAAAGAAGCTCGAGGCCAACGAAGCGGAGCTCCTGAAACGCAGAAACTTCAAAGTCATGATCTACCAGGTAAGGAGCTGGTCCACAGCTGCTGCGCGTCCTGTTGGGGGGTGTCTTTGCTGGGGGTGCTGTCGCGCTGCATGGCCCCTTGCTCTCCCGAACTCCCCCGGCTGTCCAGTGTTCCAGGTTGAGGCGGGTCCGGATCAGCTCTCTCATTCATGTTCTAGGACACGGTTTGATAGAGTTGCTATATTTAACAGGAATTTTGCTGCAGATAGTGAGAATGGCCCTGAGCACTCGTTGCAGTGGACCAGAAGTATCAAAATAACCCGATTTTACTGCTTAGCTAAAAAAAGAACAAGAATGCAGGGGGTCCTGGAAGGGAGCATTGTAAATCCGTCTGCAGGCGTCTTTTCTGCTGAGAGGCAACGTGTGTTGCTGCGTGGAGAGCGATAATATTTCAGGTTTGTGACACTCATCTGACAACAACAGGAGTCAGTAACCCCGGCATCAGGGTTAATCTCACCGGCGGGGACAGACAGGGACGTTAGAGAGAACACGGAGCAGCTCCTGGGGCCCGGCAGGGCTCGGGGCTGCCTTTGCCGTGGTGTTTGTGCAGGTTTCCACCTTCTTAACTTCTGCAACCTGTGAGTCTGCTGGTTGTCTGGTTTCAGTAACAGCTGTTGCTTGCTTGGTGTTCAACCCCCACGCTGGGCCTTGGATTTTCCCTTTAATATTGGACAAGAAGAAAGAGAGGAATGTCTTGCTGTCCGTTTCCATGTCTGGAGTCGGTCTGGGCTGTCAGAGCAAGCTCTGCCATCGGGCTGCGGAAGGAGAGTGAGTGAAATGGTTAATGACGCTGTTGGGAGTTAATAATAGAGAGCGCCAGGGACAGGGAGAGAAGCATCCAGTGCTGGTCACGGGAGGAGAGAGAAGAAAAACAGACAAAAAGGGAAAATGCTTCTGGTGCAGGGTTTGAAGGGAGAGCGGGTCGTAATAGGCTCAGGAATCGGCCCAGCCCAGGGCCTGTGTCACGCTCTGATTCAGAGCTCAAGCATTTGTATTTTTATCGTGCCTGAAAGGCTGAAATACTCGAGCCTGTTGGCTCATCCGGGCAGGCAGGGATACGTGTGTTTATTACAGGCTCTTTGTGTCAGGCTCTTGGGGGAGGACAGATCTGTCCAGAGAAAAATAAAATAGAGCTCTAGATGTACCGCAGAAGCACCAAACATTGCAAAACGAGGAGAGTGGGGGGAACAGTTTGAACAGAACATTCCCTGGGGGTCACGGAAGGAGGCAGGGAGGTGGCAAGCGTCTGGGTCCTCTGTAAGCATCCTGAACACTGGCAGGTCGTCACTTGGGGAGCTCTGCATTGCGGTTTGCTGTTGCTTATGAATATCGAGTAGAGTTTCTCTTTGAATATAAAAAACCAATCCTGCTTCTGAAAGGAGTCAGGGGCTGATGTAATGAGGAGAGAACAGCCGCCGAGTGAATCCGTTGGTGAGGGACTGTGGCAGGGATTTTGTGAGTCATGGAGGTATTAGGGGAAAAAATAGAATGATTTGTAATTCAGAACAATTTCCCAGCGTGGAATTGACTGTGAGGCCACAGAGCATGAGTGAGAGGTTCTCCAGGTTTGCTTCCTGTGAAATGGAGCCTTTTGTGCCCTCCTGGAAATCCTCCGTTTCTGCGGTGACCCTTGCACGAAGGGCGGCAGGGAGCGTGCGGGCTTGTCACCGACACTGCGGGGCGAAGGACGGTCTCTCTGCGATGAGAAACCCTTGATTCTCTCTTAGTTTGGTGCTTAAACTGAAAAACAAAATCCATGATGGGCTTTTGATGTTTGAATGCTGAAAGAAATAGTCAATAAAATAATACTGGTGTGCCTGAGTAACAAACCCTGGTGGCCAGGACTCTGCGGCTGCGCGACTGTGGCACACACGGACCCGTATAGTGAGAACTGGGTTGCAGACACGGGCCATGGGGAATCCCTGGAAGAACGGGGTGTGTTTTTCCAGTCCTCTGCAACAGTGTGACCACTCTTCCCTGCGTACGATGGAAATGTGGATTTTTGGTCAACAGAGAACATTTCTAAATTATATCCGTCTACTGTCTGTCCCAGAGCCACGCTAATTATTATTTCTCATATAAAAATAGGGTTGCTTAATAGTTGCATTATTCTGTAGATTGCACTCTATAAAAACATCATTGTGTAATTTCCATTGTGGGGAAACCTGAATTGTGGTGAAAGGAAAATAATCTCTCCTCTGTAGGAGTCTCTCTTGTGTGTGGAGACGTTTTATCCTGAAGTCAAATGTTTTGGGGGATCTCAGAGGTTTTGCTGATGGCTTTGGGGGTTTTATTCTGCTTTGTTTTTTCCTGGGAGGGACAGGATTTTCAGAGTTTGTGTCTCACATGGAGATGGCATTCTTCAGAAAACTCCAACGCAGGCCGGCTGCGGGAGTCGCACCGCCGGTCTGAAAAAAAATCGGGTTACGGTTTTGTGTCCTGATTTGTTCGTACGAGCGTTGTGTCACACTCGGTAATCCCAGGAACGTCAGTGACAACCGTGCTGCTTCGTCTGGGACCATGCAAGGCAGACAACGCTAACTCATGTAGATAGCAAACGCTGGACGGAGAGGAGGGTGTTTCTGCGCGTACCTTGCAGAGGCATTGATCCGATCGAGGGTGGCGTTCAGCTGCTTTGCTGATGGTGAGCGATGCCATTTGTTGGAAGAAGCCTTGCTGATCCCCGTTGGATTACCCAGTTACTGATAGCCTTCTGTGTTTCAGTGTTAATTATCATAAAATTTTAAAAAAATGTATCAAGAGTCTGTAAAACCAAAGCTTTAGGCGGGGCTGCACCCTGGGAGTTTCACTGGGGAAAATTCCCTGTGCTTTCCTAACTGTGTCTATCGCTAAAAATAATCCCAAAATAACCCTTTTCTAATGAAGTGGTTGGCTTCTCAAGACCCACCACCCAGCAAAGTTTCTGTTGGATACTTTATTGATAAGGTAATTAATTCTCTGATGGTGAGCAGCGGGATTACTGCTTTCAACCTGGAGGAACTGCCTTTGGAGCACTGAGTAACTGCCCTGTGCAGCTGCATTTTCAGTTGCTATGGCTAAAAATGCAAAGATTTATTAGTCTTTTCTTTTGGAGAACAATAAAACTTGTAAAACTTTTTATTTTGTGTAAACTCCTGGTAAACTGAGATTATATAAACCAGCAGTGGGTGTTTTGAAGCAAGACAGCCGAGTGAGACAGCCGTCATGCTTTGCAGGGGTTTGATCCCGCGGGGTTCCAGAGTGAGGAGATAAAAGGGGGTAAAGATAAATTGGTTCCTTGCGGGTTCTAGGTGTTCTGTTGTTCTCTCAGTGTCAAATACTCAGCCCCCGGCAGTCGCGGAGGGACTATTTCAGGCGTGCAGATACGACCTTTTGGCACCTTGGGAGAAGAGGTCAGAGACGTGCGGGAGTTGTGTTTTGCTGTTAGATTGGGAGGAAAGGAAAAGGACACTTAATTCAGGGCGAGCCTGGCCTGTCCGGGTGAGCCCACAGCACGGCTGCCTGCAGAGGTTCAGACCCTGGGGAGAAGGTGCAGAGCTAAAGGTCGCTTCCCCGGGGCCGGCCGGGGGCGAGGCAGGAGCGGGATGTTGACGGCTGTCCCTCGTCCCTGCAGGCACCCACAGCCTGCGCGTGCTCATCACTCGCTCAGACGCCCTGGTCCCAGACTTTGCCAGGAGCTGGCCTGATTCCTGCCGAGGTGAGAGGTTTTGTTCCCACTTAACGCAGGGAATTAGATTGATTCTTGAGAATAAAATCTGAGAAGCCCGAACCCCCTCCAGCCTGCCACATCTTTGTGTTGTGAGAACAAGCCTCCCGAAAGCAGAGGTGCCCGGCTTTGGCGAGCTGCTGCGCACACGGGCGTTTCGTGCTCTTACCGGAAGGACTCGCCTTCTGAAGAGCCTGATGTCAAACGACTGCGTGCACTAATTAGCAGCCCATGGGAACAGAGCTCGTCAGTGCGGCCTTTGTGCCGCCTGGCCTGGCCTCCCGGCTTTCAGAGGATCCAGGACACCAACAAATCCGCTGAGAGCAGCTGCTGGTAAAAACAAACTGCAGTGACTCCATCCCAGATCTTCTGGCTTTAGGATACAAGGATCTGGGGCTGGTTCCTACAGTCTGTAATTAAATAAGGGCTGTCCCCTGGAAAAGCTGCTGCTCTGAACCCAGACGCGTTCGCCTGACGAACAGCACGTGGTGGCACTTACATAAGCATGGCATTTGTCCCCCAAACATTTTTAAACAATTGAACTTATTCCTGCCCGTGCCAAAGGCCTGATTTCCATGCAGCCAAGACACTCTGAGGCTTGGAGGGCAGCCGGGCTGGTTCCGTGCTGCCCAGCTCGGGGCTCCCGGGGGCTCCTCTCCGCTCAGAGCCTCACGAGACGTGGTGCTCCTCCAGGAAGGGGCAGTTACAGGAGCAGGACAGAACGTGAATCTTGGCTGAACGACGTGTGGGGTAGGTAGGGCTGGACAAGGAAATATAAATAGCACCGCTTGGCTTTTGTGCCTTGCGTGGGCCTTGTACGGGCAGGAGCAACATGACTGTCAGCCGTGGGGAGGAGGGCTAGATTCCAAACCCACGCGTTAACGTGGCAGATTCGGAGGCTGGACCTGAAGTGCCTCGTTTTTAGGTTGGTGCTCCTCCAAAGAGAGCGTGGAGAAGAACTGAGCTGTGGGTCTGAGGAGAGCACGGGGCAGGAGCACAGGGTGCACAGAGCCAGGACGGCCGCAGCCCCTGCCCCAGGCTGCCGCCTTCCTCAGCCGCCTGCCAGCTGCCCCGAGCGATGGTTTTGTTTCAAATTAATCATTCTGAAACAAAAACCTTGTGACTCTAATGGCAGCACCAGGTTCACGAGAGGCGGCATGATCTGCCATCCCAAAGAGCAGCCGGGGGGACGTGCCGTGGATTCAGTGGAGCTCGCCCAACTGCAAGTGTTGGAGAATAAAGAGAAATTTCAAATACCGTTTGGATGGTAGCACTGAGGAGAGGCATGGGCACT